TACTTACTTTCTAATCTTTCATTTAGATTCCCTCATGGAACATTTGGTCTAACACTTGTTTCAATGGTTAACATTCACTACATAGAGCAGTGATCAAATGGGGGAGATTTTGCTCCTCACCCTCCTCTCTTCGCGCCCCCAGGTCCAGGGAACATTTGGCAACATCTGGAGACACTTCTGTTATCACGGCAGGGGGTTAGTGAGATGGTACTACTGACATCTAGTGGGCGGAAGCCAGGGGTGCCTCAAAACATTGACAGTTCCCAGACCATCTGGTCCAAAATGTGTACCAAGACTGAGAAACACTGCACTGAAGATAAACTACACAGACAGTCAGCATAAATGTTCCTATAGATTAAAAAATATATAACCAAGTTTCTTACATACTCTTATTAACAGCCTCAAATGTAACAGTTCAATTCGTGTTAAACATAAAGGGAGGCTCAAATATTCCTTACAGCTAACCTAGGAAACTAAGAATCACATAAAAATAAAAACAACTCAGTTTATTTTAATAGCTATAAATGTCTAAACTAGCAATTCCACATGCTATTGAAAATGAAAATAAAGTTACCCAATCAAAATAAAACCTAAAGCCCTTTAACTAAATCAAGCTTGTTAAGACAATTACTAACCTAATAAGATAATCGTGTTTATTTAGGAACTTGTAATTCAAAAACGAAAATAAATCAAATTTGAAGCTAGACAGGTCAGGCCAAGCCTCACTACTAATTAGTTATATAAGCCACTGATAGTCTGAACTTCAATTTTTCCAACTGCAGTATGTGAACAATAATCAACCGGGGGTTGTAAGAGTCAGAAATCATTTTATTTGCTCACAAAAGATAGTTACTATGATTATTACTATCCCTGGGGGAAGTTTGGTCTCACAGCATCAGATACACTTGATGCTAGGTTGGCTGCGGGACCAGTTGCTCAATAACATTAATTCTCTCATCTACATTATATTCCAAAATGTCAATGCTTTGGGTTAGTGAGAAAACTGTATTTCCCAGAACCCTGAGAATGGCTTTCTCCTTGCCAACGAACTGCTCTCTGACCTCTGGCCATTCCTTTTCTGTATATGGAAAGCATTCACTATTGAACAAAATGACAAGTGTTCTAAAGATAATGAAAATTTAAAGAAGAGGTTCACTTCCTGCCATGTGAACTATGTATATTTACCCAAATACTCTGGTCAGGCATCACAGGGAAGCAACAAAATGAAGAAAGTCATTTAACTTAACCCCAATTTTCACAAAAGTACAGACACTAAGACCCAAAAATCTATGAGAAAAAATTAGTCGTGGGACTATTGACTTGTAATACAGTCAAATTTAATATCTTCTCTTTAATGCATAAAACTAGATACTTACACCGCCATGTAGTCAAAAAATGCACCATCAGTGACTTCAGACATAGGCTTTTTTAAGATGTCCAGATCTGGAAGAGACTTCCAGTCAACGGAAGACCACGAAGGAAGGTCCCGCAGCAGAAAGTACCTCCACAGAATGGGATCTCGAACAGTTTCGTTCCAGTAATGACTTGTACTTCCCAACTGACACAGATCGTGAGGGGAGAGGAATGACAAAATATAGAGCTGTACGTCGATCTGAAACAGAGGAAAGCGGCACGCAGGTGAAAGGGGGAATGATTTATCTTGGAAAATTATTTTCCGATAATAAATGAGAAAAGTTATTATCATCATACTAGGAAAGCGAACATCAACTGAACAGTGTCTTAATTAAATCTATCAGGATAAATGACAATAGCAACAAAGGCTTGCTATACCAATTAACCAAAGATCAACTGAACAGCCACTATTTTCCCCTAACGCTATCATTCTGAAGTTGCTTTCCTGACGTCAGGAGAGAATCCTAACTGAACACTTAATTTCTGATACACGGAAACCAACCATTTTTCAAGCAAAATAACCGGTTTCTTTCATTTCTTTCCAGGGGTATTTTGCCAGACCATTTGGGTGTATTACTTAGGGAAATAATTTATTCTTCAGAATAAACCTTTCGCAAGCCAACTTCTGATTTTATCACCAGATCACATCCAAGGGTAAACCTGTCATCCGAGTTCCTCTGTCAAATCCATTAATTGTTTCGAAGGACCTGCGCCCTTGGGAGAACCGGGCGGCATTCGGAGCCCCTGTTTTCAGTTCCTGATGGGCGGCGGAGGGAGGTGTCAACAGCCCATAGGAGAAGGGATTTTTTTTTATTTTAAAATTTTTTAATTTTATTGTTTAAGGTATTACAAATGGTATAGTACATATGTCTCTTCCCCCCCCCCCCCCCCCCCCCGCGCCCAGGGTCTTGCACCCGTTGGTTGTGCTTAAATGCATGCACACAAGGCCTTCGGTTGGCATCTTACCCCCCAGCCCTCCCCAGCCTCCCGCTGTAGTCGGACAGTCTGCCCGATGCTTCTTTGCCTGTTTCTGTCCAACAGTCTGTAATGCTCTTTATTATGCATAAATGAGTGGGATCAAGGAGAAGGGGTTTAGTAATGCCCAAGAATGTCCCCATCTCCCCGACAAATGGCCCGCTGAAGGCCGTGGGGAGGCTGCGGCTGCGGCTGGTGGGAGTGTAGCCGCGGGGAGTGTGTGCGAGGCAGCAGCCCGGCCTCCGGGGGGGAGGGGGGGGGGGACCCCGTGTGTCTGGGCCCGGAGCCCGGAGCCCGGAGCCGGGAGGGGATGCTGAGCACACAGGCGGGATGCTCCCCGGCTGGTCCCTCATCGCCGTCGCCCCCCGCCCGTCTGGGAGACACGCTGCGCGCGGGCGGCCGGGCAGGTGACGGGGCGCCCCCGAGGGTGTGTCCCGGGACCTTCGGCCCCGCCGCGGAGCCGGGTCCCCGCCTGGGCGTGTCGGGCCCACGGTGGCTCCCGGGGCTGCGGGGACCGGGCAGACAGCGGGGCGCGGGGGGACCAGGCGCCCGGGTGGCCTGGACGGGGCGCCCTCCCGCCCCGGGGTCTCCGCGGCCCGCCCCACGCTCACCGGCAGCCGCGTCAGGGTGCTGGGCCCCTCCTCCGCCTCCTCGCGGGGGGCGCGGGGCGCCGCCCGGTCCTTGCCCACCGACTGCCAGAAGCTCCTCCAGCCGCTGAGGATGGCCGCCTCCAAGCGGCCCCAGTCGCTGTGGGGCGGCGGCGGGGAGTCGCACCGGCTGCGGGGCTCGCTTCCCGCCATGGCCGCCGGCGCCGATCCGCTGATCCAGACCGACTCAGGGTCACGCGACGCCCCGCCCCTGACCCCGCCCCCCACCCAGCCGCCTGGAGCCAGCTCACCCCCAGCCCAGAAGGAAACCAAGGGGGGAAGAGCTGAAAGCTCCTGGACAGTCACTGCCCCTCCGCGCCAGGCCCCAGCCTCGGCACACAATACGTGTTTAGAACTGTGTGTAAGTCTATGTCACGTAGATCACATCGCTTAATCGTTCCAAAGAGCACTCTGCTACCCGCTCCCCGGCCCCCAAACCTCTTGCCCCCTCTATAACGTCCTTACCTGCAGGATGTGGCCTGTTTCCACTACCTGGGCCCTGACTCCTTCTTGTTCCCTAGGTGGCCCTCGTCCCCTCCCCGGGGCTTTCTAACCGATTGCTTCCTTCTTAGTACCTAGTGGGCTTTTTGGCTGGTTGTTTTTCAGCCCCCAGCTTATCATTTGCTTTTTGGAGGGATTAACATGAATTGATACGAGAGAGGCAGTCAGGACCCCAGTCACCAAGGACCTTATGCCAAAATGAGGCGGCTAGGTCCACTATATGGAAATATAAATGCATTTTAAAAACTGCTCAACGTACCTCAGTGAAGGGCAGCAAAATGCAGCTGGAATAAACCAGATACGGTAGGGTTGAAATCCCACGAGTGAGTTTTTTCTCTCTCAAAACGTGTCCATATCATTCCCTTTGTGCAGCCTTACCTTAAAGAGAGCTTTATAGTTACCACTGCCCACATTACAAGATAATCGATTATGCTGAAATGGGTATGGTCTCTATTGGTAAGAAGCGCACAAATACTTGGTACTATGTATCAGTCTATTTCAAATAGATTACTTCACTTAATCTGTTCCAAAGTTCTCTGCTCAAAAGTTCTTAAAGAAACATGTCAATCTAATGTTATCATTAACATATAAGTTAAAATCTTTAGGATTATTCAAAAGAGAGCAAGATGGCATTATCTTTTATACCATCCAATAAGAAAAGTACGTCTCCCCCCCAAATAGCCAAATCGTTTTATTTTTTTTTCATTTTTATTGATTTTAGAGAGAGGAAGGAGGAGAAAGAAACATCAACATCAACATTGATTGGCTGCCTCCTGCATGCCCCACACTGGGGATCAAGCCCGTAACCCGGGCATGTGCCCTGAACAGGAATCAAACCATGACCTCCTGGTTCATAGGTCAATGCTCAATCACAAAGGCACACCAGCTGGGCAATAGTTCAATAGTTTTAAAGTTCCATTAAGAATGGATATAATAGTTACATTGAGCTCTATATGATCTAGTTTCAACTCACTATCAACCAATAATTGCTTACAACATCCCATTTGGAATGGCTGGCACCATTCAAACTGGGAACATGGCAATGAGTGCTCCCTGGCCAGAGAGTTTGTCACTCAATTATTCGGGCTGATGAGTACTATAGTTTTCAGCACAATGAAGAGGTATGCCGATACACAGAACCAGACATGACAGAAAACAGTAGTAGTAATAACTAACTTTTGAACTCTTGCCATGTGCTAGACACTGATCGTTAATTTTCAGTAACCTGTGAGGTTCTATTATTTTTCCTGTGTTAAATGAGATATTAAGGCATAGAAAGGCTAAGTAATTTATGTAGTCACACAGCTAAGAAATGACAGGGCTGGGATTCAACCTCAGGCCTCTGGCACAGAACTTATATTCCTGTCTGAATGTTATTAGGACCAGAAGAAATAATATTCAGACCTCAATAGTAAACTGAGATGATAACACCCAGATATAGAAGAAAACAAAGAACAAGATACAAATGTGGGAACATGGTTTAATTTTTTCTTAAAAATTCATATGCCCTAAAACATTTTACTTGGAAGTTTTCACTAGAAGTAGGAAAACAAACAATAACAACAGAGAACACCAGCATGAATATACAATACATACTTTAATTGTGGATACATTAAAATTATTCTAATGTAATACTTTCATAATATATCTCATATTGTGCTAAAATATAATACCAAAAAAAAGGGAGCACCTTCTAGTTCCTAGATGGAATATTCCCCAGTTCATGAATCTGTTAATAAAGTCAATTAGATCTTCAAAAATAATAGTACAAGTGATACTAGAGAACTACAGAATCCTGGATTCTATGGCAGATGGGGTATCCTTATGTGAGCCAGAAAAAGGAACCCTGAAAGGTAGAGAGAGGAGTGATAAGCAAACTAAAACTCACATGTCAACCAGCTGTGGGTTTTTAAAATGCCACTAAAATTAATCTGAGCATGCTTCAGACACATCTCCCACTTTAATGAACACCACAGGATTCACAGTGGATGGTAAAGGAAGGAATGTAATTATATTGTCGGGTTTTAGCCATGAGTCCACCGCACTCTATGGTATGCAAAGGAATAAGGGAAAGTCTTTAGTCATGATTTGCACCTTAATCAGCATGATACAATTCACAGTAGCCAGAAACCCTACAAATGCAGCCAGGTGGACAGGCTTTTAAATCTCAAAGCCTAGTTGACATATGAAAATTCATATAGGGAAAGAACTACACAAATATAAAGATTATGAAAAACCATTAACAGAGTTTAAGATCTAGTAAATATCAGAGAACCCAAAGGAGAAACCCAAGTGTAAAAAAGTGCACCAGGCCTTCAGGTCATTGCTCACCCATCGGTCAAGCCCACACTGGAGAGCAGCCTATAGATGTAATAAAATGACATGGTCACATGCAGTGACTCCCTTCTCAATGCAGTATCAGAACTTCCGTCAGAAAGAAGAGCTTTATAAACGGACTGAATGTTCAAGGCATTTAACCAAAGGGGTGGAAATTGAAGACACAAATGCTAAAGTAGATAGGTGCTTGGCGGTGCCTTCCCACCCACCCTACAAATAGCACTCCTCTCCAGTCACACTAGCCCCTGACCCTGCTTTCCTCTGCACAGCACTCATCACTTAACATGCTACCCATTTATTTCTTAAAATGTGTCAGCTTCCTTCACAGGAATACAAACTTGGAAAGAGGGTGTTTTACGAAGCTCTATCTCCTCAGTGCCAGGACAAAACCCGGCATGTAGAAGGCACATAAAAGTTGTTGATAAGTGAATTACAGTACCTTCCTAATGTGGAATATTTGGTATCTTGAAGTGACTTCATTCTAAATGAAACAGAATTTACTTAGCAGGCTTTAACATACAAAAATGTGATCATTGTTTTATAATACACTAGAGTAAAAAGTATTGTAACGGTCATGGCATACAAATTATCCTCCAGTTGTGTGGGGGGATGGAAAATTATCCTCCAATTGTGTGTGGGGTAGACTCAGTAAAAAGCACCTTACAGCACCCTCCTAACTGCACCAGCAGTGAGACCCACGTGGTTCACAAGGTCATGAAGGCAAAACGGAAGCTCCCAGCTTTTAAAGAAAGTTCTCTTGTTTTCTCAGGCTCTAACTCTCATAACACTTTACTCCTGAGGTGCGATTTGCCTTGTCAACACTGGTGTAGGTAGAGGGCATGGCAGTGTGGAATCCTAGCAGCCACCCTTTTGTGCAGAGCTCGGCACTTAGAATCATGCCTCTTATTAATTCAAAACACTTTACCAATGGCCTAAGATGTGTTAAGTATTATGTATAAAGAGAAATGTTTAAAATACGAAGTTTACCAATCAGAAGGAAAACAACAGTCAAGCAGTGGATCCGTCACCACAGGGGATGGCGAGATTCCAGGAGCAACAGGAGCCATGGCTCTGAAGGGTGTCACATAAGAAGAGTGTGGAGAATCAGTAAAAAGAAGAGGACGACGGAAGGAAGAGGGGAGCGAAGGGGGAGAGAAAGAGGGTGGGCTCTAGGGAAGATCAACACGGCAGAGGTAGGCCCAGAGAGCAGCCGCAGGGGAAACGAGGAAGATGGCAGACAGGACAGGTGGAGATTGGTCTTCAAGAGGGAGGAGGCTCCTCTTTTCCTCTAAATGAGTCGGGCAAAGCTGGTCAATAGATCCGGACCTCGTAGTCTCGGTTTCCTGTAAGACGGGACCTAACCATGTGTGAGGGGAGGGGACAGAGGAAACGTGGTCTGGACCATCCTCAGTGGGACAGGGAGAGGGGCCACACTGGTCACAGACACAGGCTCACACTGAGGGCTCCTCTGAAGCTGAGGCCGAGACACTTAAAGTAGTTCCAGTTTGAAGGGCTGCATGTACTTTGCATGGAACGCAGCATCCAGAAAAGGTGAACGACAGAACTGATTCAATGTTGAGGGCTCACAGAATGATGAGGGTAAAGGCCCAGGGGAAGACAGATTCGCAGGGTCGGTTCCCCCAAGGCGGAGGCTGGATAAGGCAGGGGGAACATCTGAAAGGGGCTGATATGATAGTTTAGGAGAAGAGGCGGCAGTCAAGAGGAGGAGGCTGTGAAGTAAGTAAAGGAGAGAAGAATGAATAAACATGAAGAGGCAGAAAAGCTAGGCAGATGAGCATTATCATCAATCACTAAAATTTAAGATTGCAGAAAGAGAAACTCAGGATGGTGACCTTCAGGTGTGGCCATGGAGTAGGTTGGGGAATGTGACGAAGTCCTGGCGTAGAGGTAGACAGACTGTATGCAAGACAGCAGTTAGGCTCTCTGCCTTGATCACTCACTCTACTATTAAAGACAAAAACATATAAAAATGTCAATACATAGGAAAAGATGTGCCTTGCAGACATATGAGCTAACAGCAACCTAAATTGGTTTTTATAACAGTTCTTTTGTGAAGTCTTTCATTATTTATCTTATTCTGGCAAAGGAATCTGAATATTCATCATAATTTTGCCAATTTCTACATGCGTAGCATATATCCAAACAATGAGGTGACTTGACTTTAACTTTTGAAGCACAGCAAATTTCAAGATAAACAGAACTAAAAATAGTTAAAATGGTCAATTTTATGTTACAATTTACCACAATAAAAAAAAAATAATCTGAAGCTCAGTTGGTTGGCGCGTCATCCTGTACACCTAAAGGTGGAGGGTTCAATTCCCGGTCAGGGCACAAACCCAGGTTCAGGCTTGCTCTCCCGTCAGGGGCAACCAATAGATTTTCTCTCACATCGACTTTTCTCTCTCTCTCCCTCTCTCTCTCTCTTCCTCGCTCTAAAGTAATAATAATAATCTGAAGTAACAGAAAAAAATCTTTGTACAGCTAAATTGGATTCTTCCTTAATATTAGTTACAGGATAACTGTAGTTCAGGCTGAGTTAGAATAACATACATGCTGTTTTAGAAATGAGAGAATTGTTCCTTCACAGAGTTAAGAATATATAATGAACTACGGTGATAGCATTTTTAAAAGGGAACCACGCTGGGCATCTTTATGTAGTGTGACATTCTTAGTGTCAATATGTCTTCTTTTCTGGAACGTTTCCATTTCATAGGTCATTCTGCTTTTCTGTTTGAAAAGGACTAAACTTACGAGTTAGAGCGATGCTGAAAAAAGTTTAAAATTTGTTTTGCATTTGTTGTGTTCCATTCTTGTTCTTTCAGGGGTCCTTCACACACAGATACATACTTTTTCAAAATTTTCTCTCCTACTTCTCGGAAATCCAAGGGCTCTCTGTGTGTAGTGCAGCTTGCTCCAGAAACACCTGCGTCCACGCCCTGGTTTTCTAGCTGCTGATCGGCACAATGCTTCAATCCCCAGTAACACATTTCTCCACTGTACATCATAGCCAGCAAGTGAATGTCACTGAATATTCCTAGGGAAGTCATTTAGGTTGAGAGATTAGAATTTAAAACGTTAAAAAAGAAACTGATTCATAAAACTCTAATAAATTCCTTTTATGTCATTTTTCCTTCTCATTTAATAGTTACACTTAGAAAAGCCAAATTTCACTAATGAATCCTCTCTGAATTGACACTCTATTTTTATTTTATCTATAAATAGAACCCTCCCCCCACCCCCACAAAAAAGAGTACAGTCAGAGACTTTTGTAAAACAGATCATTTAGGTCAATGTGTTCTTAATCTTTTTGGAATCCTCTTTAAGGCCTCTTTGAGAACCTAATCAGAGGAACCTCTCCTGGGACATATGCCCAAAATTCTACACATAATTTCAGAGTACTCAGAGTCTCCCTGAAGGCCACCATGAAGACAACTTTTAATTTAGGATGTACTCTAGAATCAATATGACAGTTACAGTCAAGTATACTTCACCTCCTACATTTCCACAAGAGTCTACAGAAGTTATCATGCATAAACATGACCCTGAGCCCAGCCAGCGTGGTTCAGTGGTTGAGTGTCGACCTATGAACCAGGAGGTCAACGATTCGATTCCCAGTTGGGGTACATGTCTGGGTTGTGGGCTCAATCCCTAGTGGGTGGGCGTGCAGAAGGCAGCTGATCAATGATTTACTCTCATCGATGTTTCTATCTCTCTATCCCTCTCCTTTCCTCTCTGAAATCAATAAAAATGTATTTTAGCCCTAGCTGGTCTGGCTCAGTGGATAGAACGTCGGCCTGCAGACTGCAAGGTCCCAGGTTCGATTCTGGTCAAGGGCACATGGCCAGGTGGCGGGCTCGATCCCCAGTAGGGGATATGCAGGAAGCAGCCGATCAGCGATTCTCTCTCATCACTGATGTTTCTATCTCTCTCTCTCGCCTTCTCCCTCTCACTCTAAAATCACTAAGAATATAGAAATAAAATAAAATAAAAATGTATTTTAAAGAAACATCACCCTGAGAGACCATATAATTCTAAATTATGAAAGATGTTAAATTATATCTAAGACGCTTTATGTTCCCAGGAAAAGGGAATACATGCAGGATTTTCATCAAAAGTTAAAGCAATCTTATTATGAAATAAGGCAATTATATAATTAAACATTTGTGGCACACAAAGTATATTAATTTGGTAGAAAGAGGAACAGACTTGGAATAAAAATATATAAATAATTTACTATGGTATAAACTATATGACTAGTAAACTTCTTAAAGGCACTAAAAATAGTTTTTTTTATTCTAATGTTCAGGTACTTGTATGATTAGAAAAGTCTACCTCAAATGAGCATCATAATCTCAGTTGCTCACCTAATATGACTCATCAGAAAGGATTATGATGGTACTAAAGACACAAAAATAGAAGAAAAATTCAACTTTCAAAACCGTTACAGTTTCTATCATCTTGACTCTACTGCAAGCTTTTCATAGTCTTAGCATTTGTCCCTAGAGCTATCTCCTTCACTTTCCCTCAAATCCTGCTTATAAACAGCAGCAAGAGAAGAAATAGGTTTAGCTGAAGAGATGACTCATCAAACTGTTATATCAATTTAAAAAAATGATCATTTAAGAGCAGAATCTGAGGCTTGCATTCATGAAAATATGATAGACAACACTGGCATGTTAATTATACTTTCTGTGTATAAAACAGCATTCACTTAATAAGTACAGTACATATTACACATAATCATTGCTTTTTACTTTATTCCTTCACACTTGAAATATCATAAACCTCAGAGAAAAAGCTGAAGCAGCATTAGATGCTATTCAGAATTATATTTTGTATTAGATTCAGCATTTCATTGAATGCATAGCCTTTTTATTTCTGTAATCCTACACCTTGCTTAGTTATTCCTAAAATTAACGGGGTGGTCCTCAGTGGTGTAAAAAAGGCATAAAAAACTTGGTGGAGGAAAGGAAGGAGGTAGAAGCCGAAATGGAGGGAAGGTTGAACGTAAAGCAGGCTGCAGCCTGGGGAGGAAGAGCTGAAGTATATCCCAGAAAGGGAAGCCACTTGGGTAGGGTGAGAACTGGGATCTTATTTTGTGCCCAACTCCAAGTGAACCTCATTCTTTATATTAAGAAGGGGTGACTGCTGAACAAGGGACACAGATCTCCTGCAGGAAGTTTTTCCAGGGACCGAATGAATGGCTATACGACAAAGAGGTCCTTGAACTTTAGCCTGCTTTAGAATTACAGGGGGATGTGCTAAAATGCTGACTGCGGGGCGCCCACCTCCACAGTATCAGATTCAGGCATGGAGTTGGGTCTGTGAATTTGCATTTTTAACAAACCCCTAGGACCTGGGGTGATGATGATGCTGTGGACTATGCTAAACTACTTACTGCATTAAAATATCCTGCATTAAAAGGATGAACAATGTAAAAATTAGGCACTTTCTACCTCTCTACTGCCCCAAGGAATCTACTACTCTGTAACTATAGTCTTTTGTTTTTAGATAAACTACTTCACTTGCCTGCACAGTCTAGGACACACATGATAATGGGGAATACAGAGCGGGAGAGGAAGAGTAAGTGAATGAGGGCAGAAAGGAGACTGCCACATTAAAAAGATGGCAGATTGGTATCCCTAGCAGTGAGGCCTCAATCTGACTGCTCATAATTATGTGAGCTTACTCAAGATTCCTGGACCCATATACTGAATCAGAACCTGCAGGTGGCACACAGAAGCCTGTATTTTTAGCAAGCTGCCCTGGCAATCAGCAATGCCAGTTCAGAGCCACTCCTTCAGGGGATCTGAAGTCCAGTTTCTTGGTTAAGCAATGGGCCAAAGGGTGGCCGGAAGCGGGTGGTCCTCAGTGGCATAACAGCATAAACCAAGGGTGTGCAAAGCTCAACAGTATTTGATTTAATCTAGTTAACTCCAGGGTTATTCTGACAAGGCTATTTTTATAAGGACATTCGAGAGGGATGAGGCTCAGAGATGGGGTAATGATGTTTACTGAATATATCACTTGGTCATTTTTAAAAGCTGAAAACTTAATGACATATAGGTAATGTTCAAAGCACTCTATGATTACCTTTGGAAAAAGAAAAAAATATTACTAAGTATAAACTGTTTTATCTAAAATTACGTAAATTTTCATTAAGATCTGTCCATAAAAATATTCTGATGACTCATAGAACTTCTCCCTAATGAGAATTGGGGATTTTCAGAATTATGTTTTATACTGGCTAACAAAAAAATGAAAAAATAGTTAAATGTCTCTGATGGGGTCTCTGGAGTAATTTAGCCTATGAAAAGTAGGCTTACTGGTTTCTAGTTATCTTGAGAGAGGAATTACAGAGGAGCAAACAGCTTTAGTTGAGAACAAGAAGCCAACAGCAAGAGAGAACCAAGCACTGTGACAAATCCAATATGGCCATAATATCGTTTTCTTTGTTTCTGGAAAAAAAGTGACTTCTCTATCTCTTGATTCCTGTTATAGATGAAATAGAAGCTAGAGGCAAGAGCAAATGATGATCTAAGAGAAGACACCAGTACTTGACTTGAGGTGGTGACCACACAACACAGGGTTACAGATGACGTGTTGTAGAATTGTGCACCTGAAACCCATATAATCTTTTTAACCAGTGTCACCCCTATAAATTAAATTTAAAAAAAGAAGAGCAGACACCAGTATCACATGCCTGTTGAAGAAAAAGTTTCAGGCCATGAGAGTATCTTACCTTGTGGCTACAAATGGGAGTAGGGAAATAGATGGCTTGTGCGACTTTTTTTGGTTCTAAATAGGCTTTAGTGCCCACCCCTACTTTTTCTTTTAAGTTAATCCATGCGAGTGCATACGGAGATTTTTAAAAAGCCATTTTGAATGCAGCTAATCAGTTCACTAGCTGTCTGGAATAAGTACTTCCCATAAGTAAATCAAAACACCCCATGTCTGTCAAAATGTCTACTGAAGGAACACTTTGTATTCACAATAACGCTTCTTTAGGACAGGCTATTTGCCTGAATAAACTGAAATTAAAAGTTTTTGGATATCACCAGCCAGTCGTATATTAGTGACACTTATATCATGTTTTTTTCTATCCAATTTTTTAAATAGAAAAAGCCTACAGAAACTAACAAAGGAGAATTAAACTATATCTATAAAATGAAAATATAGAATATTCTCTAAGAAGTTTTCTTTTCCCCATATTTGATTTTCCCCCATCAAAATTTCAGATCAAGTATAAAAGAAAGTTTGCACACGGATCATGTACATCACTTGCCAGCTACATGACTATGAACAGGGATTATCTGGTTTATCAGGGCCTCAGTTCCTCCATTTGTAAAAGAGATGGTAAAAATAAGTGGTCTTCCTCCTGCACCTCAGTCTAAAACCCAGATGATCCTCTACATCCAATTCCTAACATTTTTAAGTGCACAGATGTTCATGGCAGACACTAACAGTCGCCACCCAATATTCATTCATTCTCCCTTTCTTTCTTGGTAAAGAGACTTAATTTTATTTGGGATGGCAATGCACCAGAAAAGGACTGTACTTTCCAGGTTCCCTTGTAGTTACATGACTCCATGTAGCCAGTGAAATGCAGGTGAAGTGATGCTCCAAAGGAGTGAGTGGACTTGGGTGAAAGAGGCATCTTTTGCCATCCCTGTAGCCTGAAACAGAGGTGAGAGGGAGGCGCTCCAGGAGCATGCTGGGATACTGAGAACGCCAGCAGATCCTCACAGGGACGCATGCTGCACAGCACTGGGAAGCACTGCTCACATTGTATTCTCTATACAGTGCCTTCCTCTCAAGCTGAAGAACTCTGATTCTAAAGATGATGAAGGAAAAACATAGGAACCTGATGACACCAGGAAGCCAACATAACCAGCTCTGGGTCCTTTTTATGTGCAAGAGAAGTACAGGTCTATCTTGTTTCAAATTCACTTCCAATTTCTGTTACAAGCAGTAAAACCAAGTTGCTGACCAGGGCTACGCAGGGATGTAAAATGTAACAGGATATATAACGCTCCCAAAATTACAAAACAGAGAAGTTAGCAGTATTTTTCTATATTACATGAGAAGATCTCTGAATTTTTAGAAGTCATTTTATTTTTGTCTATGATGTAATTTGAAATTTACTTAAATCAGAGTAAAATATGATAAACTTCTTAAATTTTTAAAAAACTTTAAAAACAAAAACTTCAAAAAGAGATCACATTACCTTCACTCAGTAACTTAGCTGTGTCTAGGTCTTGGAAAGAAACTCCTTCATCTAATTGGGTAGGACACCGATAATTTAGCATCTGTAGCAAGTAACTGATTCCATCAACAAGGTACTAAATGAAAGTCAAAGCCAAAGAATTGAAAGTATTACATGCAAAGCTATAGGAACTTCAAATATTAACTTTTTCCCATTCTTTACTCAAGAAAAATGGGCTAATATATAGCTAGGTCTTATTGCTATGACATTTCAATAGTCTAAGGATCCATTACCTCAAAACTTTTATAATACATATTCTAAAGTGTCATCTTCAAAATGCTCCAGTTATGAGTATGGAAGAAAAAAAATCATTAACCAAGAACACACGATTCAGTAATATACTTGTCAAAAATGTTCTCAGAGGAAGAAAAGGATAAAAATGTGTTCAACAGACCTAGCTGGTTTGGCTCAGTGAATAGAGTGTCGGCCTGCGGACTGAAGGGTCTAAGGTTCGATTCCAGTCATGGGCACATGCCTGGGTTGCGGGCTCAATCCCCAGTAGGGAGCGTGCAGAAGGCAGCCAATGGATTCTCTCTCATCATTGATGTTTCTATCTCTCTCTCTCTCCCGTCCTCTCTGAAATCAATAAAAATATATACATATTTTTAAAAAAGGATGTATTCAACAATTTATTAAAAATACGTATGTACTTACTCTAATTTAGAAATGATATTCTCAAATTTTTACACCTAAAAGGGTGACCTCTCATTTACAGGGCCCCATGAACCATAGGTATAATCAACCCCAGTTAGACTCCCTAGTGACACAATACTAAGACCGTCTTGAGATTTATTGATTTGGTCAGAGTCAAACCAAATCAGAGCCAGTTTTCTAGCAGCAGAGTCACGTGGGTTCTTCAGGCGTGATCTGCTGACAGAGAGGCTCACAACACGTTTGTTTTCTTCAGGCCAAAAACTATGCTTAAAAAATAATATGTGTTGTCTACCTTATATTTTAAAAAAAAAATCATGAACTTATAGAACTTTCCAGTAAGCAAAGAGCTTTCACCTGTTATCTTACTTAATTTTCACAGTAAGTCCAATTTGTTTACGATTACACAGCTAGTAAGCAAAAGACGTGGAATGAAGACCCCTGGGTTCCAATAGTCTTTACACCACACCAAAGACAGCTTTTAGGAACCTATAAACTTAACAATCAAAAAAGACTGAGGAATGCCTTCTTACCTCTTTAAGCAAACCAGATTTCCTCGTGAGCCACTCTCTCCTTTTGGTCAGAGAATGACAATACATATAAAGTAGAGCTCCTCGTCGCCAAGAGAGACATTCCAAGAGTTCGTCCCCAAGTAAATCACAGTGCTGAAACACAACAGAGACAGAGCTAAGAAGAGAAATTTGATGTCTGTAAAAATAAAGTTAAATTTCAAAATAACTGAGAAATTAAAAACATTTACTTCACAACATTTGCTCTTCGTTTAGCTATTTACACAGGAATGCTGTACTGTGAATCAATTAGAAATAGATATCTATTACTACATGAAAATTAAAATAACTACTCCACTTATAAATACTTTTAGAAAATACAGTTTAAATATTTTAGTAGCAAATTCTAATATATATAAAATATAAACATTCAATAATCTGACTTAAAAGATAGTTTTTTAGAACTACATGTTACTTGAAACAAGATCTTACCTATTTCTACCATTGCTAGAATAAAATAATAAAAAGATATACACAAAAACAACCTTAATCAAACTTTTACTGTGTTGTATCATTTAAAATTTGGGAGTATTTGTTTCTACAATTAGCATCCCCTCATGAACACATACAGCACAAAAGATATCTAAGGGGAGATAAGCAGCAAGCAGTTAAAGATAAATTATTTCCTTGAAAAAGTAGCCATGGCTGGAGATAAAAATCTTGGAATCATCTAAATAGGATGCCGTAACAAGCAGTACAACAGGTTGTAAAGCAAGAATAGAGACGGTCAGGGGATTAAGGCGGTATCCTTGGGTGCCTGTCTCCAGGATGGGAGGAAGGGGAGCTGTTGAGGAAGGAGAAAGACTGTAAAGGACAAGGGATGTGGTCATTAAATTACTCGGGAAATGCAGACCCTCAAGAAAATGCAGTGTCTGCAAAAGTAAAGGGAGCAGAAATAGCAAGTATCTTTGCTTAGAAAATGATCAGGTACTGTAATTACAATACAATTACATCAGGAAAGTATTCTGAAACATATTTAGAAAATATAATACTTTAGGTGTGACACTGGTCTGAAGTGTAATCCCTCCTTCAATCTTAATTTAAAACAGACACAGACATAGTCAAGAAGAAAAAACACAGACTCTAAACAGCAGTCCATACAGCAAGAATTAGCAGCTTCACCATCATTCACGAGTGTAAAACTTACTTTTGGGTACATATTATTTTCTTTAACTAAAATTTCTGGTTCTGAAAGAAAAGTGATCAACTCTTTCACTTTCTGGGAAGAGTCTTCAGGGAAATCTTCATCTACTAGCTTGTTCTCCTCAAAATATGTCATGTCCAAAATAGCCTGATGATGTACAAGAGAAAACAATAGCTGTAAATGATTTCTACCTGAATAACTCTTACGGTTTAACTTTACATATGTACAGATGTTTTATTAGACATTTAAATTTTCTAGTGCACTGTTTAAATTTGAGGCCCTGGCCAGATAGCTCAGTTGGTTAAAGCATAGTCCAGGGGTCCTCAAACTATGGCCCGCGGGCCACATGCAAATACAAATATTGCATTTGTTCCCGTTTTGTTTTTTCACTTCAAAATAAGATATGTGCAGTGTGCATAGGAATTTGTTCATAGTTTTTTTTTAAACTATAGTCTGGCCCTCCAACGGTCTGAGGGACAGTGAACTGGCCCCCCTGTTTAAAAAGTTTGAGGACCTCTGGTATAGTCCCTATAAGCCACGGTTGTGGGTTCCATCCCTGGTCAGGGCACATACAAGAATCAACCAATGAATGAATGAATGGATAAACAAGTGGAACAGCAAATCAATGTCTCTATTTCTTCTCTCTCTCCTCCCCTCCCTTGCTCTAAAATCAATCAATAAATGTTTAAATTTGAAAAATAGGCAAAATGTCTAGCTGAAAACATAATCCAAGATGAACTTTATGGAAAACTTCATAGCTATTTTACTAAAATATTAAATTAATGCTGACCTTCCTTCCCTCAAAAAATAAAAGGGAGTTTTATATTTTAATTCAGGTAAGTAAATCATAAACAATATTATGAAAAGTATAATTATATATTCTTTGCTATTTATACATATATACTCTGGACATTTTCTAAATGGCTGCTGTATCAAGTTAAGATCACTACCTCTAGTTTTGCAAACTGAATCTTCAAAGGATTTGTTTTCCCAAATGCAGATTCAACCCACCAAAGGCAGCATATCGCCAACATTATGCAATTCAAACACTAAGACCCCAGCATTCTTAAATACAAGATCCTTTTTTTAACCTATTGGACTAAGATGAACAAAACTGTGTTCTAGTATCAGTTCTACCCCTAATCACCTAATCAAAGGACAAGTCAATTTATGTTTTTAAGCCTCAGTTTCTTCATTTGTAAAATGAATTGGACTAAATGACTTTCAAAGTTCTTTGCTTTGAAGATAAAATGAATTGACATATGTAAAGCGGTTCTCAACCTGTGGGTCGTGAACAATGAAAATACATCCTGCATAACAGATATTTACATTACGATTCATAACAGTAGCAAAATTACAGTTATGAAGTAGCAACGAAAATAATTTTATGGTTGGGGGTCACCACAACATGAGGAACTGTATTAAAGGGTCACGGCATTAGGAAGGTTGAGAACCACTGACTTAGAACATTACTTGGCACACAGCACTACTTAAGTGATAAACGTTCTTGTGTGCAGGTTAAGCCAGGAAGGAGATCATCCTAAGAAAAATGACCTGTTGATTCAGAGCCATAAGTGGGATCCAAGGAAGCCTGGGGACTGTAAATCTAGGGCCTTTTGCCGTATTCTTAGAAATAAATTAAGATGTTTAAAACTCTCTCATGTGAAAGAAATGACACAAGCTGGGAGCCTTCTGAAAGGAAAGAAAGCCAGGGCAAGTTCTGCCAAATCACAACAGTTCTTTGGGGTTTGTGAGTAGCTGTCACAGACTCATTTGACCATGACGTTTGAAGGCAGAAGCCATCTTATGTTCCTCCAATCAGAAAACACAGTGCCAGAAATACAGTGCCAGGCATCTAAATGCTGTAAATGTACACTTGAAGGTTAACCAAGTTTACTCTGCTTTCTGTTTCTTTTTTTAAAAAATATATTTTATTGATTTTTTACAGAGAGGAAGGAAGAGGGATAGAGAGTTAGAAACATCGATGAGAGAGAAACATTGATCAGCTGCCTCCTGCACACCTCCTACTGGGGATGTGCCCACAACCAAGGTACATGCCCTTGACCGGAATCGAACCTGGAACCTTTGAGTCCACAGGCTGACACTCTATCCACTGAGCCAAACCGGTTAGGGCTGCTTTCTGTTTCTTTTCTTTTTGTTATGTATTGGTTTGGGGTGTACAGCTTAGTTGTTAATCATAAACTTTACATATTTCCAGTACCCTAACTGGCACCATACATAGTCATCACAATATTTTTTTAAAATATACTTTATTGATTTTTTACAGAGAGGAAGGGAGAGGGATAGTCAGAAGCATCAATGAGAGAGAAACATCGATCAGCTGCCTCTTGCATACCTCCTACTAGGGATGTGCCCGCAACCAAGGTATATGCTCTTGACCGGTATTGAACCTGGGACCTTTCACCAACACTCTATCCATTGAGCCAAACCAGTCAGGGCTCATCACAATATTATTGACTATGTTCCCTATGTAATAATTACTTCCCCGTCACTACTCTTGTAGCCACCAATTACTCTACTTTCTATAAGCACTCATCTGTATTATACCTGAGGATCAAGTAAGGGCATATGAAGCACTCTATTAACTATAAGATGTTGTAGGAATGTTAGTTACTATCTATAATAATAAAAGTGTAATATGCTAATTAGACCAGATGTCCTTCCGGACGACCTTCCGGACAAAGCCGGGGCTTCGAGGGAAGCCTGCTAGAGGGAAGCCAGCAGCCAGGGAAGGAAGGCCTACTCTTGCACGAATTTCGTGCATCAGGCCTCTAGTAATGAAATAATGTTTAATGTCAACTTGCCTCAGTAGTGTTTGAGAAAACCAAGAAAACAGATCTTGTCCATACAGAGGCCTGAATTTGAAACAAAGCAAAAGAAAAAAGGGAAAAGGGGCAACAAAACAATCTTACAGAATTGCATGATAATAACAGAGGGAGTCATGTTCAGAATCCTAAGGAAAGGAGAATTTCAGGGGGGAAAAATAACTGGGGCTCTTTAGAATCTTCCATTTCTTCTGAATAACCTTTAAAACCTTCAAAATTGGACATAGTCCTGTTTTGCTTACTTACCTATAAAGGGAAGCAATTCTGTTATCTGCAAGATTTTATTCCTTACTTTTCTTATCAATACACATCTACTAAATCTTTACTTCTTTGCATATTTCCTCAAAGTTTCAAGTCTGTATATTTGTACATAGAGTTTTTGAACAAAATCAAACACTTGAAATAGAGAATAAAATGATTTTATTAGACCTAAACATTGGAATCGATCCTCTAATTAAGCAATTTGCCCCATAACATGTCAGAAACCACATCTGTCTTAGTACCTGTGTGTAAAGTTCTAGTAGATTCGATGGATTTGAACACTTTTTTTCTTCTCCACACAAGAGTTTCAATTTTTCTAGAGCTGCAGAGGCCCGAATTAAAAAGTGATCTGTAAGAGAGAAAAACATGTTGATTACTTCACATAATTTCAGGCTGTTATTTAAACAAAAAAAGTTATGGATCTTAAATGGTTAAATAAAATTATGTTTGGCACTGGAGAAGAGCATGACAGCAATAATAGTTTATGCAAAACAAATATAACATAACGCCTAATCCTAATTAAACTGATTTATCATGGAAATTTATTCTGGAAAGCTAGACTGAAAACTTCCTAAGTAGCTTATTTAGAAGTATGTTAGATACAGTTGCAGGTAATAGCCTCTACTATCAATCAACTAACTATTGATGTGCATCCTGGGATTGACTTACCACACCGAAAAAGAAGTTGGCTTCTGGGTATTCTACGGATTTTGAAGAACACACCGCTAGGAAAAAAATAATTCCGCAAATAATCTTGACTAGAACTAGAGCTATCTCATCATAGACCCTAGTCAACCAACTTCCCAACTATTTATTCAATCACTGGGGTCAATGTCCCACTACCATTCCCTGGGTGCGATGACAGCGAGTCCCCAGAACTGAAAAGCCGATCTGCATTGTAATAAAGGCTCAAGATTCAAAAAGAAAAAACATAAACTCTACAGGTAGCTGAGAAGTCATGAAAGAGAACTGGACTTAAATTCAGAAGTCGAGGCAATTCTCTACTTTTTTTTTTTTTTTCTTAAGGAAACCGCTGCTGTTTAAAAGTGTTCTGATCCCGAGGGGGCCCTGGGAGAACCGAGGTGATGTGTGTGCAAGAACCAATGCAAAGCCCTTCCGTAGAAGACCGTTTACAGTTGAGCTGAGAATCCCAGATAAGACAGAAACTGACAACGAAGCAACAGAAGTGTTACTGCTGCACCGGCCTAGCTCTTTCCTGCGCGCACCGCCACCGCCTGGGTGCTGTCACCAGCGCGAACCTGCCAACCTTTGTGGGCCCTGTTCCCGGGTTCTGCCCAGGTCCCCGGGCTCCCGAGCCAATGCACGGCAAGCAGCACTGATCTGACCGAGACGCACGCGGGTGTCACGGGTGATAAAATCGCAGCCCCGACGCCAACGCCTTCGCTTAAGGCGATGTGAGTCCTGCGGGACGGACACTGACCGCGCACCGGGCGCACGCCGACCGCAGGCCGCAGCCCCCGCGCCCCCGGCTGCAGCCAGCTCTGCGCCGCCCGCCCGCCTCCCCGCCTCCCCGCCTCCGCCCCTCACCGTCCTCGCCGGCGGCCTCACTGAGTTGCTGGATGTGGGCCTGCGCGAGGTCCCCCAGCTCCTCCACTCGCCTGGCCACACAGGAGCCTGCGGCCGCCATGGCCACCAGCCGCGGGCGCGCCCCAGCACGTGACCGCGCCGCCAGCGGTCACCTGATCCCCGGGCGCCGGCGCGGCGTGGGGGCGGAGCCCGCCGGGTGGGTGGGCGGGGCCTCGGGCCCCCGAGCCCCCGAGTTGTGCAGACCCGAGCGGGCGAAGGTCGTTCGGGGATATTTCCTCCTTCTCGGAAAATCCTCCCTCCCATAATCCTGAGCGGCCAGGCTTTAGGGGAGGGTGTGCCGTCGGGACACGCCTCTGCCCCGCCCTCCTCTAAGCCAATCGGAGACGTCCATGCCCCCAGGCTGACCCAATGGGAAGCCAGCTCTCTCCGCGGGGAGCCGGGAGGAGGTTGGCAGCAGTTGGCGGGTGGGCGGCGGGCAGGTGGTGCGCGGTCCCTGACTCGCGCCTCCCTACCCCGAGCTGCGGCCGTACTCGGTAGAGCCCGCGGGGAAGTCTGGGAATTTTGGTCTTGCAGTGAGGAGGATGCCTGACTATAATCTGGTCAGAAATGGAAAGCCCGATGGCCCCCTTGCAGCTCATCCTAGTCTCCGAGAGGTAATTGGGCGCGGAGCTCCAAGCCCTAGTGGAAGTTGAGTGTCGATTTTCCAAATCTTCATTTGAGCAGCGGGGTTTGTTTCATTTCTGATCTGCATTGGCTAAGCTGACATTCAAAGTCCTTTATCCGTCTCGCGTTCAGTAGTACCCACATTTTGCATTTGCAAACATTCTTACTGTTTGACGTTTAGATTTATTGGTATACGTCTAAAGCGCCCACTGTGCGCAAAGTTCATCCTCCACTGTGAGTTTCAAAGCCCTTAGCGAGTATAACTTTCATTTTGCATTCCCTGTTTTCAAGCCTATGATCAAACAAATCTTTAACTCAGTTTTTTCGTTTTGCAATTTGACACCGTACATCTTGAAAAATCTCCATTCTATCTTATTTCTTATGGAAGGCAGTGTTTTTATTTACACTAAATATAGGGAAATGGTGTATTGTGTTTTATAAGCGAATCACCACAATGCCTTTCTAACTGATGTTTTTAACACCGGTTTCCTCCTCCGATTCACCTTAAACGTAGGGAACAGGAATCCTGTATTAATTCTGTGTCCTGAGTGCCTGGTACAGAATGCGTACCAGGAAAATGTTTACTAATTGAACAAAAACTCCACGTTATATTGTCAATATATTACTCAAATCAGGAAGCTGGAGGCCAGGAAAGTTGCATTATATGACAATGTGGGCTAAGGAGTCAAAACTAAGGAGCATTCAACACCTCAAAATGCCAAACCTCACTGTATATTTTAAATAAAATTTACAATTCTACTGACTCATTAAACAATGATGAACTTTCAGCAAGAAACATACTTGGCACTGGGAATTATTGCTCAACTGAAGGCTCACATGTGTGCATGTCCTAGGAGAGAGCTGGAAGGGACCTGTGAGAATACAGTGCAGCCCTCATTTCCAGATGAAGAAACTGGACAGAGTGCAACTATTAACCACTCCCAATCCTAGAACACATGATTCTGTGACTGGTCCAAGATCATGCCAAAGTAATCACCTACCTTTAGAAGACTGCCCCCCCCCAAGGATATAAACAGATAACAGCCAGCCCTTACCAATGCACATGAAAGAAAGTGCTTAAAGCCAGAGAAAGCACTTCCTAGGAAAGAAGAAACACAAGCAGTTTTCTCCAATTTTATAGTTATTTTTATTTTTGGAAACCTACATGAATAGAAAAAATAAAATATGCTACATTTTAAAACTTCTGAAAGAAATTAATAACTCCCTATGAATCTACCAAAAATATCTTCTAAAATAACTGATCTCATTTGTTCCACTTTCCTCCCCACTTATATACTAGTATAATGGGTAAAATCCAATTATCTAAGAAGAACTTGACTTCTCGGGATGTTTATAAGACACAAAATCTTTTAAAAAATAAAGTTTTCAGTTGTCTCTGAATCACTAGTACTTACAGCTTATGTCATTCTTTTGGAAACTTCCCTTTACTGCTTTTTGTGTGTATGGGTCTTATTTTCTCATATAAATTTGTCACCCTCCTGTGGAACAGGAATTGAGTTCTATTTTTTTAACTTGCCACCAGCAACTTGCATATAATAGGACCTCATTAAAGATTTACTTCTCTTTTCATTTAATGACCATTGTTGGGTCAGGCACTATGATAGGCACTGGGATTATAGCAGTAAATGAATGTGATCACTACCCTCCTAGATCTTATTATCAAGTCAGGGGAGGCAAAGGCTTAATGTCACACAATGAATATGTAATTTTAGAATTGTGGAAGATGTTGTGAATAAAAAGGAGAGGGATATGATTTGATTTGAGAGATGAGAAAATGATATTAAAATCGAAAGCATGAATAAAATTAGCCAGGTGAAGAGCGAGGGTGTGTATCAGTCTGGAGATCCAATCAGAAGAGAGAAACCACACGGAATTGGAACAAGGAAATTTGATATAAAGAATTATTAACTATAAGGGGGGACTGGAGTCAAAATGGATTGGCTAGTAAGAAGTAACACAGAGGAATAGCAAGGTAAGGAACACCCTTGAGCTAGAGATCCAGACCCCATGGGAGGAGAGCTCATGGCTGTTGGTGGCTGGATGGCAGGGAAGTCCATGCACTCTACACCTGTGGAACTTGCTGGAACTCCACCTTCTGGAACTTGCCAGAACTCTGCATCCGCAGGGTGCTGGGAAAGCTGCTCACGGTGACGTGACGAGGCACTCTGCTACAAAACTGCCCCAGGGGTGCCAGGGAAGCGGCATGAATGCAGTAGCCTGATGCCAGAGGAGCTGCCCACATACAGGAGCCGCCAAGAAGGGAAACAAGACCCAGGAAGACCTTTTGCCTCCTGCGGTGTCTCTCTAGTTCCCTCTACTGACAAAGCTTGACATGGTGTCTGCTGACAAAGGAAAAATACATTTAAAGGACCAGATAGGTTTTTCATAAAACAAGCAAAAAATAAAAATAAATTGGGAGCTGAGAGTCAATAAGTCTATAACCAGCACAGTGGCGAATAGCATAGCAGGCACCGTGAACAGCATGTGCGAAGACTCTGAGTTTGGGGAGAGCTCGGTAGTTTGCAGGAATGAAAAAAGGCCCAAGGCTGCTGCTGGTGTGGGGGGAATTAGAGCACGGTGAGGCTGAAGAGCACAGGTTATCTCCTGAGGGGAATGCCTCACTCACAACCATGGAAATGAACCCGTGGGGGCAGAGTGAGCCCCCCTGACCATGTTCATATTAATTGACCCTGTCTTCTGGCCATGGACAATTCATTTATTCAATTAGGTGGTCATAGGGACAGTGGAAACGGAGAGAAGTGAATCCGTCTGATGCACTACATGAGTAGAGCCAATAGCACTTGGTGACAGGATTCGAGGTGAGAGGTGAAGGAGAAAGAGATAGCGAGGATAACTCCCAGGTTTCTGTCAGGAGCTACTTGGCCAATGGCAGGGCATTTACTGACTCAGGACCCTGGAGGAGGAACTCACTGGTGTAAACCCAAGCTGAACAAAACTTTTATCTAACGTGACTTTTTACGTTCATCTGAAAAAGCAATTGGCAATTCATTTTTAAAAAAATATACTTCTTTTATTGATTTCAGAGAGGAAGGGGGAGAGAGAGATAGAAATATCAATGATGAGAGAGAATCATTGATTGGCTGCCTCCTGCACGCCTCCCACTGGGGATCAAGCCCACAACCCAGGCATGAGCCCTTAGCTGGAATTGAACCTGGGACCTCTCAGTCAGCAGGCCGATGCTCTATCCACTGAGCCAAACCGACTAGAGCGGCAATTCAGTTTTTGAGTTTGGAAAGAGAGAGGGAGAAGGGAGGGGAGGGGAGGGGAGGGGAGGGGAGGGAGGGAGGGAGGGAGGGAGGGGAGGGGAGGGGAGAGGGAGGGAGGGAGGGAGAGGAGTCTGAGCCTCTATAGCAGTGGTTCTCAACCTTGGCTGCACATTAGAATCACCTGGGAATCTTTTTTAAAATCCTGATGTCTGGGCCTCATCCTCCGGAAATTCTGTTTCTTTGTTATGGGGTGAGGCCACAACATTAGTAACAAAGAAACAGAATTTCTGGAGGATGAGGCCCAGACATCAGGATTTAAAAAAGATCCCCAGGTGATTCTAATGTGCAGCCAGGGTTGAGAACCACTGCCCTATCGGCAGGATGGTAATTAAGAGCTGATCTGTGTAAAAAGAGCTTGAAAAATTAAAAGCCTGATAATTAGAGGGGTCTTAAATAATAAGAACTATATCATTTAAGCTCTAGAATAAATTCATCCAGGAACAGAACAGAAAGACAGCTGTGCCATTTAGGTTTTCCTGGTCTCATTTTATCTTACAAGAAACTATTTCTCCTGCTCCACTCCCCAGGGTAATTCATCTTTTTCCCTATCCCATGGGCAGCCTTGTTTTATACGGTTTCCTTTAGTGTTTTAAGTACTATCCATATTACCTGCAAGATGTATTTGCCAAATAAACCAATTCTAATAAGCATGCACTATTGCAATACCAGCTAGCTTCCAAGCTGTGTGCTTTGTTGGGGACATGACATTTAAAGATAGAGTACATTATTAGAAGTTCCAACCGTACCAATCCTAATAATCCTAGTGCAAATTAACAGAACACCTCGAAAACATTACAAGTAATTGCTACTTGACTTGCAAAGAATCCATTAAAAGCTACACTTTGATTTATATCTCCATTTTAAATCCCTGATAAGCAAACATTTTATTTATTTACTTATTTTAACTTCTTTATTAAGGTATTACATATGTGTCCTTACCCCCCTCCATTGCCCCCCCCACCCCCCCACTCATGCCCTCACCCCCCTGTTGTCTGTGTCCATTGGTTAGGCTTATATGCATAAGCAAACATTTTAAAACCATATCCACACAAAACCTGGATTCCAACAGATCAGCTATACTCGCTGTCTTAATGAAAAGCTCTGTATCGGGGGAATACATTTGGCTGCAACTTGAATTTTGGCTGCAGTCAGGAAACTACATTGAAACAGTGAGGAAGAGCGT